TGGGTAACAGGATCCTCAAAGTGGAGCCTTACACATCAAGGCCAAACAGCAGCAGGGAGGCAGTTTCCAGATTCTCAGCCTGAGGCCTCTCCAATGCAGACTTCCCACCCAGAGCACTCTTCCCACACCCCTGACGGCAAACCTCATTGCAAACCTGTACACACCTGTCATTTTCGTTTGGCTTGTTGCGGCCTGTCCTGATCTTCCTGAATCTCCACACAGCTGTCTAGCACGGCTACTTTTCTCCTAGCTCTGTGTTATCTGTTCATCTGATCAGAAGCCTTCTTTAGCCCAGCCTCTGACAGGACACTGCTAGACACAGCTCTTGAGGCCGGATCAAGCTGCTTAATCCCTATTACCACCAGGCTATGCAGAGCCATCTCGTCACATGCCTCAGTGAAAAGCAGCCCTTTGCCCTGGCCAGTCGGTTGGGTATCATCCCAGGCACCGAAGGGTTGCTGGTTCTATTCCCCGTCAGGGCTCATGCCTGGGTTTTTGGGCTCCATCCCTGGTGGGGTGTGTGCAGGAGGCGGCTCATCAATGTTTTACTCTCACATAAATGCTTCTCTCCCTCTCTCTCTAAAAATCAATAAAAATCTTAAAACAACAGCCCTAGCTGGTTTGGCTCAGGGGTTAGAAGTGTCGGCCCACAGACTCAGGTTTGATTCTGGTCATGTACCTCAGTTGCAGGTTTGATCCCCGGCCCCGGTTGGGGCATGTGCAGGAGGCAACCAATCGATGTCTCTCTCTCACATCGTTTCCCTCTCTCTGCACCCCCCAAACCCCGCCTGCTCCACTCTCTAAAAAAAGCCCTGACTGCCTCGGTCTCAAGGGTCCCGGGTTCGATTCCAGTAAGCGGCATGTACCTTGGTTGTGGGCACATACCCAGTGGGGAGTGTGCAGGAGGCAGCTGCTCGATGTTTCTCTCTCATCGATGTTTCTAACTCTCTATCCCTCTCTATCCCTCTCCCTTCCTCTCTGTAAAAAAAAATCAATAAAATATATTTTTTAAAAAAATAAAATTAAAAAAAAGAAAAAAATTCAATGGGAAAATTATCCTCGAGTGAGGATAAACAACAATAAAATAGTAATAAGTCAATGATCATTGCCCACACCTGAGTGCAGCAGGAAGGGAGTCCCAGGCCCCTTCCAAGATGAAAGCAACTCCATGGTAGGGCGGGTGGGGACGGGACTGCTGGGCAGACGCTAAGGAACAAGGACGAGAGCGGAGCGCGAGACTATCCAGCGATACACAGGCGCGATCCGCAGAGGCAGGTTCTCGCTCTAGCTGATGTCTCGCTCTCCTGTGGTCACGTCAGAAATGAGGAGTCACTGGGACTGGGCCGGCAGTGCCACCAAGGGCAGTGGGAGGAGCTCCGCTGAGAGGGCCCTGCACGCCTGGGGCTCAGGCGGAGGGAGCTCTGATCTGCATTCAGCGAGGCTCAGGGAAGCCTCCTCCGCAGTGAAGTCACCAGCCTCATGAGACTGGGCGCTGGGGAGCAGTCCTTCCCCGGGGGTCGGACAAGCCTCCTCAACATGGGACGCTGTCAGAGCGCCTGCTGCGTGTGCCCGTGGCCAGGGCTGCCTTTCCGGTGCGGTGACGAGCGTTTCTGTAAGAACCCACCGGAAGTTTATGAAACGGGAAATGTTGGGTTTTCCCTGGGAAGGCCTTTATGGAGTTTTTCCATTTGATTTTAATTCAGAGAGATAAACAAGAGGCCATTTCAATGATTACTCCCAGGCAGGGTTCAGCACTGAAGGTGGCAAAGAAGAAACCCTACGCGGACCACCTGGAACCGGCTGCTGTCCCCGTTACCCGGGGGCGGAGGAGGCTGGTTTCCAGGCGTCACCCCTGGCCCAGAGGCTTCCTTTGTGTTCTCGAGTTCATTAGCCAAGAGAGGCAGAGGGAGAGACAAGAACAAGGGAATGGGGGGGCGGGGGGAGACGGTGGTCAACTCATTCATGAAGAGGCACACAACACTTCCAAGTCAGCTGTGTGTCCGGCTAACTACCACAGTGAGGCCGGGACAGAGGCTGCTGCGGGCATCCAAGGAGAGCTTTCTGGCCACGGAGTCCTCTGGGACACTCAAAGCAAAATGCAGGTATCAAGGCTGAGATTACAGAGTGTTCCTGACAAACCCCAAAGCTACCTTCGTCACGTAGTGCCCTTCTGTACCCAGCAGATTATAGCCATTCTGTTAGGAAAAATACTGTTGGACTTACAAGAAAATGCTAGTTGGAACCACAGCACCTGGATATCCTACTTCATCTGGAAACACACAGTGGGCAGATCCCACCCCACCCCATGCTAGCCGAGCCCTCCCCAGCTCCTTCCCCGCTGCCCTGGCCTCTGTAAGGCCAGCTGCACCCACACCCGCCCAGGCCCGCCTTCCCAGCCATCCTGGTGGGCTCTCAGGTTCCTCAGGTAGGAGTGGGAGGCAAGGCCCTCCCGTCATTGTCAACACAGATGAGTGTGTCCCTGGGTCCCACGGAGCCTGGAGGATGTGAGTTCGCCCACCGTCAGCCCAACAGCACAGGAGCGACGGCGAGCACACAGGCCTTCAGCTGCGGGCAGTCCCGAACACCATGGCTCTGAGGAGCATGCGTGGGCACAGTGCACTCACCTCGTGCACACGGCCTGTCAAAGCGTCCGCACTCCTACCGTCATCGCAAACCGACTCTCCACAGTGTGCAGACAAGAGCACAACCACACTGAAGTAACCTCCCGGCACCTTCACACCAGGCAGGCCCGCGGCCAGCCCAGCGGGCGGTGCCCACACACGGCCAGAGCCGCCACCCCCAGTGCAGCGAGGGATGTGTCCACTGGAAAGCATGGAATCTGGAGCCTGGAGAAGATTCCTAGGACCCCTATGTACAAAAAGGAAACAGCACGGACAACCAGGAGGCCCCCTTTGCCAGAGGCCAGCCACCAAGCAGTCAGCACCTGCCCCTCCACCTGGGCTGTGGCAGTTGGGACACCATCAGACCCTGCAAATGTAGGTTTTAAAAACTTCCCCAATCACCAGATTCCATTCTGCATGGCGGGCACTTCAGAAACCTGGTGGCGAAGGATGCCCAGGAGAGTCATGTCCACAACAGCCCAGCTACCCAGCGCCCCTGCCACCCACACACACACACACACACACAACAGCCCAGCTACCCAGCACCCCTGCCACCCACACCCACACACACGGCTTGGTTGTTTCTGGGTCAAATGTAACCCAACCAGGAAAGCATCCAATCAGAAGGTTGCCTTGAACCAGTTCAGCCAACCCCCATGAACCTAGCCCACGAGAGAAGATTGCAGAAAAGCTCATGTGATCCAGGCTTCCTAAGAGACTGTATTTTAGCTTTTTACTGCAGTTGTGAAATTATCAGTAAGGGAGCATAATAAAGTGTTCTAAAAAAGAGAGAAAGCACTGAGAATGGAAAAGCCTCTAAGAAAGGAAGTTAAGCGCCAGTTACATGGCAGTGTTTATGGTATACTGCCTTTAGTGAATTTTTTAAATGGTATACATTTGCTTTTATATGCACAGGACCCTCCTGGACAGATAAACAAATATCTGAGGACTATGTCACTGGGGAGGGGACGGAAGCGCTTCAGTCAGTACTTACAGAGCAGGGCTGCTCTCCCAGACACCTCTCCCAGGCTGGCCTCACTGCCTGGCCAACAGCCGGGGAAGCCGCTCCCACCTATCGGAGCTCGAGCGGCAGCTGCAGACACTACACTAGGACGGGCTCTTGAACCTGCTCCTCCTCCACCTTCAACGGGTCAGCCGAGACCCGAGACCCTCCCTCCTCCTCGGAACCGACTCCAGCTCGGGCAGTGCTGGGAAACACTCATCAGAGGAGCCCACAAACACCGCCTTCCCAGGACAAGGTGCCGCGAGAAGGATCAGCCACAGTGATTCCCAAAGTGGGCGCTACCGCCCCCCGGTGGGCGCTGCAGCGATCCAGGGGGGCAGTGATGGCCACAGGTGCATTTGGGGGCGATGAGTAACTGCTATTAAAATTTAAAAAAAATTAATTTCCAGGGGCTGAGTAATATTTTTTCTGGAAAGGGGGCGGTAGGCCAAATAAGTTTGGGAACCACTGATCAGCCACGAGGACTGCAAGACAGACTCCGCTTCCCCTGGGATCTGGGCCCCTCCTGGTCCCCTGACCCACTGCAAGGACGATTTCAAAGGCATCTGGGATTGCAGAAGTAG